CTCACAGTCACACTAATAGCCGTTAAATTGCCATCCACCGACGATCGTTTTAGCATTTGACAACTTCTCTGTGTCAATTTGATAATCGACTTGATATTCATGTTTCTTAAATTTTCATAGCAATTTAGCTTTCGCGATTCGTTTTGGGATTATCTTCTGAAAGTGAAGGAAAAAAAATTCATATCGAATTTTCATCTCAAATTTCTTTCGTAGCAAAAAAATTTTCGGGAGCGCTGCCCCCGAACCCCCGTGTGTTTAAGCCCCCCCTCACCAAACTTTCTGGCCTCGCCACTATATATATATATATATATATATATATATATATATATATATATATATATATATATATATACACACACACACACACACATATACATATATGAAGAAATATATAAAGATGTTAATCATGAGTTATTTGGAGAGTGAAAAACATACATCTTACATTCATGGTAGGCAACAACGTACATCATCTCAAATTAAAAGAAAATATTACAACTAACTAACTAAACCCCATGTTTATTTTGCGAACCCTAATCTCTCACTAATAGCAATACAAATAGCAATCACTCTAATATAATTAATTTCCATTTTCAACCTGCAGCCCAAACACATACAATACAATACAATACAATACTAGATCTTGGCTTCACACACAGACACACACACACACCTTCAGTACAATAACAATATATATATAGGACTTATTCGACAAAACCCTGATATAATATAATATTTCCTAAAAATACAGATCTATGGGTATATACTTACCAGCAAGCTGTGAAGAAACCCTAAAAAAGTTGCAGCAAGCTTGATCTAGTAAGAGATATATAGATCGATCGATCGGACCATGATGCTTGATTCCCCCCACCAACAAAGAAAATATAACATTTATTATAATTAATACCTTTTCTCTTACATGTATATTTCTTCCCTTGTCGTTTTCAGATCATCATCATTAATAAACTTGCATATATATATATTGATGACTCCTCCCTTTTGTTTTCTTTTTCTTGTTAGATAATAATGATGATAGCTTTGATCTGAGTGCAGCACAAGAATTGTGGGTATAATGATGGTTGTTCTGTACAGGGTGGGGGGGGTGGGGGTGGGGGTGGTGGTGGTGGCATTATGATGTTATATGATATGTAATGAAATGAAATGATGAATAAGAGAGAGAGAGAGAGAGAGAGAGTAGCTAGTTGTGTAAACCCTATCAATGTTTTTTGTGCTGTCTCTTTCTTTTTTGGTTTTTTTCAGAGATGACTTTATTTGTGTGTGTGTACTGTGTGTGTTTTTTCCATGAAAAGGAGAGAGATACACACAATTTGGCAGAAGGAATTATTATTACTTGCATTTATCAAACTCTAAAAGGACTACCTTTTTCTTTCATTTGATTATTATTAGTTATTATTACTCTCTGCAGCTACTTGTGCTGTCATCATTACTCACCTGCAACCCCCTTTGCTAAATTATTGTTATTTTTTTTTTCTTCTCTTTTTATAGATTTACTTTTATTTTCTTTACTTCTGATTTTTGCTGGTTTTGATGGATTGACCGCATGATATATTGACATTTTATCCAAAAGTATGTATTATAATTATCATCAAAGATATATAGATTACTATCTAAATGTCCGTCAAAGGAATGGTTTTTATCAACTGATGTAAGTTCGAATTCCCTAACAAACGGTACGTTAGTAGGACGAGTTTGTTACGAATGATTAGCCTAGTTTAATTTACGTCTCTTGTAAGGTTTATCCGGCGTGTATAGTTTTGCAAGCTACTAATGAGAGTGTAATTAAGTTTACTCAGGCGCTAAATTTGAGAAACTAAAATAGTGAAATACACTAGAAATGCTCTCACAAATCAATGATATGTAATTACTACTAATCATCAGTCTTAATATTATAAAAATATAATTCATGTTTCTATAAAATTTCCAAGAGAAAATTAAACTACAACGATAGTAGCGAAGATAAATTATGTCAGAGACAGTGCCTTAAACGATGGTCTAGTTCGTGGAGTAAAGAGAGTTGGACATGCAAAAAATCGGTCATCTCCTGATATTTTTTAAGCCAAGCTCGGCGCACATAGATTGTCCTAACAAAAATATAAATTTTCCACTAATATATATACAAAAATTCCTCTCTTGTTTGGGTAATTACAACCATCCCTCAACTATAAATTTTCTTACACGTCCATCATTGCGGTTTCAAATTTAGTGGAATCTTGGAGATTATATGGAATATTATCACTTTTGTACCTGTTTTATGCCATTCGAACTCCTTATTTTGAAGCAAGGGAATTATCATATGTGTTTTTTGGCTTGTATATATTAGATTATGGTGCATCAGAAACTGTATTTTTACACAAAATGAGTACAAAATAGAGCACATTCCACGAAATCTAGATGATTATGTTGAATTTGACACCATAAGTGTGGATATGTAAGAAAAAAATCATAGATGAGGGGTAAATGTAATTATCCAAAAAAGAAGAGTTTTTTCGTAAATTGACCGTACCTCAGGGGTGATTGTAATTTACCCTGTATATATTTTATTTTCTTGTAGTTTGTACATATTTGGGCCGTTAGTGAGAGGAGGTTCCATGTATTAAAAATATAATTGGGCTTACTAATAAGTCCAGCCAAATTCAATCCCTTCTTCACCTATATTCAGATTCAACAATTGACCAGGTCAAAATTGATTGTCAACGAGTGGTGCTCACAGCTCACCAGTCACCACCTTCAAATAATAAATAAGTAAATAAGTAAAACAGTGCTAATTAAATCAATTTTATTTCAAAATTGAAAGAAAAAGGGAAGGAGAGAAAGATCTCATCTAAATCCTTGGAGATATTTAACTGAATCACAATTGCTGCAAAAGGGAAAAATTCCGCCATGACAGCTCTTCAAGCTTCCACTTCTTACAGCGTCGGTTTCGCCATTTCATCCGCCGCACCGCCACCGCTGCCTTCGCGCCACCTCCGCCATGGCGTCGTCGCTAAAGGTATAATTTATATGTAACCTGAATCAGCTTTTTTTTATTTGTGTTTACTGGAAATTACAATCGGATATATAAATCGATTGTCCGGCGCAATTGTAGTTGAGCCAACGGAGAAATCAGTTGAGGTAATGAGGAAATTCTCGGAGCAGTACGCTCGGAGATCCGGCACGTATTTCTGTGTCGATAAAGGTGTCACCTCTGTTGTCATCAAGGTATTCTTTCCACTCCATTAATTTGGTTTATTTGTATTTTTTTCAGGTTTTAATTGGAAATTAGAAGTTATTCCTAAATTAATCCTTCATTTGGCAAACTAGTGTATTCCACTATTCAAATCTCCATTTGACATGTTTTCTTCTAACGAATTTTTTCTCCGTTGATTGAATCCTTATACCCCCGTACAGCAGTTATTAACAATTGCCGGTTCAATTTTATGTTTGCGCGTAGTAATGTGTGACTGAAAAGTATTAAGTGCCTGTAGATCTCGACATTTGTAGAATGTCGAACTGAGTAGTGAGTAATTAGATTCTCTGCAAAGGAATCGAGTTTCTTATGCTTCCATTTACTTCTTGTGCATCTGAATCATTTATTACTTTTAGTATAACCTTTCCATGTATCGATATGAGAAGTTTCTCAAGGATATCTACTGAGTTGCATTTTTGTGTTTGATAGTTTGTGGCGATTATGTCAAGTAACTTTGTTTGAAGCTATTGCTTCCGGTTAAGTGTATGCTTTTCCATGTCCCTTTGATTTTTTTTGATTCATCGTATACTCATAATTAATGAGATGGTTTAGAATAGAACTTTGTTTCCAATACGTGATGAAAGCATATCTCTCAGTATTTGAGAAAGGAGAAACTTTGTGAATTCCTACAGATAATTGCTTTTGCTGCTTATTAGTGCTCCAGATGGATCTAGGGATTATCGTAAACTAGTGGTTGAAGCAATGTGCTGTCTCAAATATGTCGAATTTGTTTACAGGGATTGGCTGACCACAAGGATTCACTGGGTGCCCCCCTCTGCCCTTGCAGGTAATTAGTCATTCCTGACAAAAAAATAAAGAAAAAAAATGGGTATCAAATTACGATATCATATTCTTTCTCGGTGCCCTATTTTATTTTAGATGTAATTCAAATTTTACGACAATAAGTGCTTCAGAAGATATAATTAGTGATATATTTGGTTTCAGGCACTATGATGATAAGGCTGCTGAGGCACAACAAGGTTTTTGGAACTGTCCATGTGTTCCTATGAGAGAAAGGTAATGTTCATTATCGAAAGTTGTTGCCGGTTTTTCTTCTCCTCTCGTCATTTTGCAGGTCATGCTGCCCCTTACTGAACTTGGTGGCGTATGTCAAGTTCAAAATTCAGACAGTGTGATTTAATTCTTGTATTTGAAACTTCATTTATAAACCAAAACCTGAAATATAAGATGTCAGGATGAAAGTATAGGCTGATAACTTACATGAGTGGTGATAAACTGGTAATTCAGAAGGAATTTGAAAACCGGGGTAGTTTTAATCTTTTGAACCGGCAATCCCAAGCTCCTGGGCTAACAATCTGAAATATTAATGAGAGGCTGTTAATACATTCAAACTGCTCTCTTCGGAATGAATATGGCTGTTATTTTCCCGTACACTTCACCACACCACCTGCTCTAGGATCATCTGTTCTAGAATGTAATAGGTTTTGAATTTTGCTCGTGGCATTTTTATTTTAGTTTTTACGTGTTTATTTGCCAGACATATTTCCACTTAAATTTCGTCGGCAGAATATTCTGTAGTTAGTTTAATATAGTTTAATACAGCTAGAACCTTTCTTATTTTAAGTTCTTAAAATCCATGCTCCGTGGCTCGGCTTCTGATTTTCTGATTTATTATTGTTCCATTGGCAGGAAGGAATGCCACTGCATGCTTTTCCTCACCCCTGATAATGACTTTGCTGGCCAGGAACAGGTAAAAAATAATACATTGTAAAAAATAAAAACTATTGGCTTCTTATCAATAATTTTCGTTCTTTCGACTTGATTGAATTTAACCCTATAATGGATATAGCTCGATCTGCACTATTTCCTTACCGGAATTACCTTTTTGCTATGCAGGTCATTTCAATGGAAGAGATCAGAGAAACCACAGCTAATATGTAATGCCCATCTCTCTGTATTCTTTTTGTTTAAATAGCTGACAAGTGTATGTAAATCTGTATCATAATTAAGACAACATTACATTCTTGTTCTCAAACACCGTTACCCTGTTAGCAATTGGATTCTCTTATATATTTTTTTTATTCGATCCCTCAATGAAGCTACTACGTATGTAAAGCCACAGTGTGCAACACAAATTATACTGAGTTTCAAGAATAGTTCACGAAAACTGGAAATTACAAATTACAGATACCAAAGGATCATATAAAAAAACAGACCTAATTTGAACACTTTTGCATCATTTGCTTAAAGATCAAAATTCAACAGTCAGTCTTCATCACTACCATCGCTTCCATACTGCTGGCATAACGAAAGCAAACCAGAATTCGGTCGTTCTGCACTCTGTTTTTCTTTCCCCTTATTCCCATCGGAATTAGCAGCCGATTTCTTCATCACAGAAACCCTAACTGTTGAAGACTTGAATATAAATTTACCATTATCAGAAGCCACCTTCTGAACACCACCACCACCACTATCTCCATTGTTCGAGCTATCTTCAACACTCTCTTTCGTAAGTATATCAGTTGGTTTAGAAGGATGATCATCCGACATTTTAATCCTCTTCGAAAAGCCAATCGACGGATCAAAATCCTCATAATCATCATCATCATCTAAATCATCATCATCAATTCTTCGCAGCACAATAGCTTCTCTCTGTCCCTTAAACACCGATTTGATCAAAGCTTCGTCTTCTTCCTCCAATTTCCTTTCCTTATGCTCGTTCGATCTCTGCAGAGCTTCAAGCATTGCATCCACACTCACAGTAGCGTGTCTCGATTTCATGGATTTCATTTCGTCCAGTGTGGCGAGAATATCCATTTCTCTCTTCGAGTCGTGAGTTTTATTCTCCAGCGATTTCATCGCATCGCCCCTCTCTTCAGCGAGCCTGTTCTTCTTCTCCTCCTCAGTCTCTGCATCGGACGCACGCCATGGTTCGAAATTCCTCGTTGCGCCGGATTCGACAATGTAATCGGAGTTTTGTGGATCGGTTTTGTAGGTGATTTCGGCCGAGCATTTGGTGCACTTGAAATAGAATCGGAAGATTTGAATACCTAGATACGTCTCTCCGACGACGTCTTCTTTGCGTGAATTGAATTTCGTCCCCTTGTAGATGTAGTTTCCGCAGGTGCCGCAGCGGATGCTCATAGGAAGCATCATGCGCACTTTCATCTGCTGGTTTTTCGGCTGCCTCCGCCTCGGGATCTTATCCGGATCGAAGTCCGGCGGGTAGTACTTGTTCAGAACTTTCCTTTCTCCCATCTTGCTTTCTTCTTTTCTTCTCTCAGGGGTGGGTACAACCGGCGAGCCGGAGGAGGCGGCGGCGGCGCGTGTGTTAAAGGCGGACGAACAAGATGCAGGGAGACGAAGAAATAGAAAACCCTAGATTTATTTGGGGGAAGCGAGTAATATTAGTTTAAATCGGAAAATAAGAGTTTAAATATTTATCATAAAAAGTTAAATAATTTATTATTTATTATTAAAAATTAAATTCTTATCCTTCAACTCTCCCAGCCAAATAAGAGAAAAATATTTGTTTTTTCTAAATAAAATCCAAAATCCAGTTAACTAATTCTGTACCCAACATCTTCCTAAATTCATAAAATACAAAAATCAAATCATTGAAACTACAATCGGAAAATTCCAGTTAACTAATTTCTGTAACCCTAGGTTCATTCGCATGCTCGTCAACGGTTGCGATACAGAAACCTCTGTATTTATGAGTCAACTCCGCCGTAGCAGCAATTGATTGAGAAATTAAAAAATGGCGAAGCCTCAAGTAACCATCACTCTCGGCCGCTCCGGTCAGGTACTCGTATAAATCTGCCCCTTTTTGTTTTTCGTTATCCATGACTGTGGATTGCTTTAATTTTGCTATCCTGTATTAATTACTATTCATCTCAAACGAGATTTCCGATCGTCGTCGTTTTGATAATTAAGCTAATTTTGCGGGTGTTTGCATTTTTCGTGATCGCAGAAGGTGGTGAAGGATTCGTCGAGAGATTCTAATGGAGTTCGCCGGAATGCTTTGGTGCTATCCGGAAGCAAAAGACCGTCATCGGAGTCTTTTCGGAGCAGTGATGATCGTCGATTTAGCAACGCCAAAAGGTGATTTCTGCTTTCACCTTTCTACTGGTATTTGATTTCAATTTAATTTCTAGCTTGTGCATTTTATAAAGGTGGAAATTAGCAATTTTTGTTTGTATGATTTGTTGGTTCAGAATGAGAGTGGGTGTGAGTGCACGGAGCTATGGGTACAACAGCCGTTTAGACGGTAATAGTTGATTTCGTAAAATAGATGCATTCTCATGTTATATTTTTTTCTTTTTTTAATTCAATAAATTTCATGGTGTATTTGAACTTTATTGCTGTAGATTCAAAAGATCTTCGTCTGAAACTAACACGCAAGAGGATGTCAAAGCATATAGAGCTCGAAAACGAGAAGCGTAAAAAGATGGAACTACACGAGAAGAAGGCATCAAGAGCTTCACCACCTTCTAGAAGAGCTGCTGAAACACAACCGGTGGGTTCGATGATTAAAAATTCTTATGCTTCTTGGAATTCAAATGCAGCGAAAACGAGATCCCCCGAAAGAATTCCGAAATTTTCCGGTGGAATTTCTAATAACCCAATGAATTCTATTGGTCAACTGCCACGTGTACCACCAATTAGGCCGATAGATGCTTCAAGAGAAGAGCATTTGTCGATGAGGGATGCCTTGGAATCTTCTAGGCCTAATTTACCTATAGTCACCACTTCGAGAGGTTTTCTGGATAATGGCAACATGGTCACCGAGCTTCCTCCAGCGACAGGTGGCATGTCCAGACCTATTTACCAAGTAAAAATCTATTTTCTCTCGTATTTCCTTTACCTCTTCTGCTAGTAAGGAACTTCTGTAGATACTGTAGTGTTAGTGTTGATTCTAGTTATTTATGTTTTGTGCATCGTAATTTATTCAGTCGCTCAGTTAGCTTGTGTGTGTGTGAGAAAATCAGTAGAATCCGAATCACATGTTCGTTGTTAATTTCTATGCCAACTTCAGATAAAGTCAGATTGATTGTATGTTTCGTCTTACTTGTAAAACAATCTGTATCGTATTTTTAGCTGCATTAAGATCTTTGATTCGTCTAGTGGAATTCCGGAGTGTCATTCTGGGAATTGATGCTATAATGTTGTGCTCTATTTAATCATGCGTCTCCTCTCTTATGTTCCGAAGGGCATTCAGCCGCTCACTGTTAGCAGTTTGTTGCACGCACTTGGTCTGGGAAAGTACTTCATCAACTTTCAAGCTGAAGAGGTACGTAATCTACTCATTACAAAGATAATGCAAAGAACATGTTGCTTTTTTCTTTCTTTAATATTCAATTTTCAATTGGTTTGTTGATTCTGGTGAGACAATGTTGTAAAATTCGCCCGTTTTGCAAATTTCTGATGAATGAGATCAGGAATAAGCCTATAAAAATAAACCCGTATATCATGATATGGAGCCACATATGCGTAGGAATTTGACACAATCATCTTAATTCAAGTTATTTATTAACATGGGAGCCTTGATTTTATTTCTCGTGCAGATAGATATGGTTGCACTAAAGCAAATGGGGGATGGTGACCTCAAGGAACTGGGAATACCAATGGTATAGTTCATTTTTTACTTGTTGACTGAGATAAACGATATCATGATAATCTGAAAACACGCGTCAAATGCAAAATACAGCAGAAAAAAATACATTTGTGGAGATTTTTAAAGTTTTTCAAAATGATACAAAGTGCTGTTTAACAGGATACGATTTCCACGTGAATCGTGACTAAAAGAATCTAACTCGTTATAGCCGATTGGTTCCTGATTTATTTTAACAAATACCTTTTGATTTACTTGCCAGGGACCAAGGAGGAAGATAATCCTTGCTCTAGAGGCTTGGAGGAAGCGCCCCCCGATTCAACAACTTCAAGCACAAACAAATATTCCATCCAGAAATTTACATTTGGTTTAGCCTCAAACCCACAAGTTTGTCTATATGTAATGACATGTCCGAGTTTTTCCCGCCAAAAATCTTACTACATTCGTTCGTTTTTTTTTTTTAATTGTTTTAGTCCAGCTATTCTGAAACAATTTGTGGATAGAGTCGATTTAATGTAAAGAAACTAGCAACTTTAAACTGAAACGTATGCATTCTGCGTAAATATATACAATGAGTTATGAACTTGACATTCAAGCCATTATAGAGAGATCAACAATTTCTGCATAAATAAACTCCACCCTCTCAATTTAAAAAAAAAACACCGAAAAGAAAACGAATAGTTATAGCAATGTTTTCAATGAATCAATAGGCTTTAACAGTTGGCTGCGGACTATGAGCAGAAATTTTGGTTCCGCAGTCTTTCCCACTCCTTGCAGCCATAGCAGCCAAAAACTTGTTAGTAGCAGCGGTAGCCGAAGCTGAAGACGTAGCCGAAGCTGAAGACGATCTCAGGTGCTCGCGCGTGTGCTCCGCATGAAACCTATGGTTCAGACAAATCTTCATCCGACAACTCTTGCACGTAAACGTGTTTGAGAACGTCAAAATCTCTCTGCACCGACGCACAGGGCAAATTGGTTTCTTCTTCTTCTTTGGATCGCAGTCGCCCGACTTTTCGTGCCTCTCTAGAAGTTTCTTCTCGTCTTCTCCAACTAGTCCGGTAGTTTCAACCGCCGTGGAGCAGATCTCGCAGACCAATACCTTACGGCTTTTGATGTCGGATTTGGGACATTCGTGCGATTTGTACGATCGGTGTTCTAAGCAAAACACCTGCAAACACGAATTAAGAGAGAGAAATCAATTCAATTTTCAGGTACTCGATTTTTTTAAAGTTGGTGAAAAAAAAAATATAAACAGAAAAAATAGGGCAATAATAATACATTGTGACATGCGTCGCAATCGAAGGGCAGGAAATCGAGCTGGCGGCAATCAGATTGTTGGCAGTGGCGTCCTAAATCCGGAAAAACTTCGGTTCCGCCTCCCATCTCTTCGTTTTTTATTTTTGAATTTTGAATATTTCTCGCCGGAAATTTTTTATGAGATTGTATCGAACCTCCGGCGAGCTTTTCTTATATATATATAAGGATGAATTTGGGAGGATTTGAAATTGTATTTTATTAGGATTTCTTGAGCAGGAGGAAACAACGCAAAGAAATTGACCACCGACCAATTTGGACTTTGGACCCGAAGTTTCTAGAAACTCCACGTCATACAATTGTAGGCCCAATTTTTAATAACTAATACTTAGGCCCATATTATTAGTCAAGCTTATGAGCCCAATTTTCTTAAATCAGGCTAATCAGCAATTAGTCATGAGTTATGTTAATACTCTCATCCTAATGGTCAAAATTGATGTCTTAATTTTTTTAAATCTAAATATTCATAGCATTATTGCTAGTGACTATAGTATTAGTTAACAATTGTAGGGTATAGTTTATTAGATATGTGATTAAGGGAGCATTTCAACATTTTATTATCTCGTATGTGGTTTTCGGACTAAGTGGAATTTTTATCCAGTGCACATATGTGGTTGCGGGTCGATTTGTTAATAATAAATGGAGTTTATTTTATTAACTTAACTTCATTACTTGTAAGATAAATTTGAGGTTTATTAGATTGTTTGACTCTACTTTTAAAATAAAGTTAAAATAAAATGAAACGATTGTGGGGCCTTTATTTAGTTGTTTAGTGATGAAAAAATGGTGGAAAAATCATATGAATGCAGGTCACATTTGATCATCTTGTCGAAAACGTTAATAATCAAGAATCGATGTATATTAACGAGTAATCATGCGTAAAACAAACACAAAAATCAAGAGATTAATTATCAAAACTAAGCACGAGAGATAATTAGCAAGAGATCTTGTTAATAGTTGGAATATACTCATTTAATCCACCATTGATACCACAAGAGCAAAAGCTATTGCTGCATTAAGAGACCAATACCCCCAAAAGGCGTATGCCAAATTGTAAAAGAAGAATAATACACTTTTCTTTCTCATAAAGTTTCAAAAGCATAAATGATAATTTAATTCTTGCTTTTATTTTCTTTAGGTCCACCACCAACCAAGAACAAATTACTAGTTTGACATTTTCCCTTTCTCTTTTTGCAACATATATTACAAATAAGTCTCCAAATTATATGTTTATTGCCCAATTGTCTAGAATTTGTAACATTTTGATTAGCCGTAAGTAAAAAAATTTTCCGTAACGAATGAACTCGCAGCCAACTATATATGTGCACTAGGTAAATTCACACTCGTTTATATGAACCACATTAGGTTAACCATGTGTGACAAGCTCCACCGACGATCGTTGCCAAGGCAAAAGTAAATTTTGTGATGGTAACATTTGAATCTAATAAGTTTTTTAATGATGAATCTTAGTGGAATCTTATCGTGGAAATTAAAAAAAGATTTACAAAACGAAATAAAAAAGGATAGGCATATTACTAAATTACTAATAAAACAAAAAAAGAGGATCAAGGTAAAATTAAACCCACAAGATGATGATGATTGAAGAAAAAAGGAGATTAATTAGTAGATTACCACGCGGTTCAAGCTCATAGTTTGTATATAATCAAATTAATGTAAGATAGTTGGCACTTGGCAATTAGATATATAAATATAAATAATAAATGTATAAAATAATAGAAAAGTAGAGCGAGATAGGTGGAAAAGGTAGAGAAAACTTAGCAAGGTGACATCCAGCCTAGAACAACACTATTGACTATTAAGCTATCAGAAGAAGTAGTTGAATACTTCAAAAAGTGCACCAAATTATAATAGAAACTTAGCAATTAAGTTGAGATCGAATTGAGAGAAGCAATAATAATAAGAGGTGCACGAGTGGCTTTCTTTTGCATGTTTCCATGCAAATGCAGTGCTTAATTACAAACCCTTTTCGCCATTTTATTTTATTTGTTTGCCCCAAATTTGACCAACTTTTTTTTTATTTTCTTCTTTACTACCAATCCATATATATATATATATATATATATATATATGAATGATTGATCTTAATAGTAATAGTTTCACAATTTTCAAAAGCTTTATCCACCAAAGTCAAAATCCTGGAAAACCATGCAAACCTACTACCTACACTAGTCAATTTTCATGCAATTTGCCTATTTAAAAAATGTAAATATTTTCTTAATTGGTTAGATATATAATTTGAACCTAATTGAGGACTATTTGTAAATTAGTGATATATTTCAAGAGCACCAACAGGTCCCAGAATTTTGAGTTTCAGGAGACGAAATCTTCACACACTTTGTAGTAAAATATGGGAAAAACATTAAAGTTAAAATAGTTATTTTGTCCAATTTTCGGACCTCAAAATAGTTATAATCATGGTTTCACATATTCATATATTTTTGTAATTTAAGAGATTTCATCAAACACAAACATATCTTACAAATAAAGACTCATGATTGGTCAAACAAATAGCCATGTGTTTCTTCACCTTTTCTTTTTTGTAAAAGAAAATTTGCACATCACATAATATTAATATAATATTAATATTAATTAATCTCCTCAAAGCCACATAAATGAAGGTCTAGGTATGGGGGAAATCGCCCCCTTTCAGCGCCAAAACAAAATAATTCACCACACTTTTTCTTCACTTTATCTCTCTTCTTCACTCCACATAATCGTTAATCAATCCTCCCTTCCTTCTCATTCGCTTTAATCCTGCCAGATTAATTTTCCCGTTATTATTAACAATTCAAAATTAATTAATCTCATGGATTATCTCCTAATCACATATTTATTATCGCTTCATCGTCACTAATACCTCGCCATTTTTTTTGAAAAAATTCTCTGCACAGAGAAAAAAATTCTCCATGGGGAGTGGCAAGCAGAGATGGAGGATTTCCTTCCATAGATCGTCGTCGTCGCCGCCGTCGAATTTACTGTTACTGAAAAAGCAGCTTCCTTCTGCTCCGGTCGAATTTCTATGCCCAATTTCGGGCTCGATCATGGCGGATCCGGTCATAGTCTCCTCCGGCCACACCTTCGAACGCAACTCCGTCCACGCCTGCGTTTCTCTCTCTTACAACCCCACTCTCCACGACGGCGCCGCCGCGGATTTCTCCACCGTCATCCCCAATCTCGCCCTAAAGTCCACCATCCTCAACTGGTGCCGCCACCACAACCTCGATCCCCCAAAACCCATCGACTTCTACTCCGCCGAGAAAATCGTCCGTCAAATTGCCCCCGAGTTGCCCGCGATCAATCGGAGCGAGTTGACTCGGACACCGAGTGAAGTCTCCGTCACCAGCTCAGAAGATTCCGTTACGCCACGTCACGGATCCAACACGCCTCTCCCGTTAACAACCAGACCTTCGTGCTACTCGTCTTCTTCCTCCTCCTGTGAAATCGAGATCCCGAGCTCGATTTTATCGGAAGAAGAAGAAGAGCTCTTCGTCAAACTGAAAAGCTCTCAAATCCACGAGATTGAGGAGGCGCTGATTTCCCTCCGGAAACTCACACGAACCAGGGAGGAGACACGTGTCCGTCTCTGCACTCCCCGGCTGCTCTCCGCCATGAAATCCCTAATCACCTCTAGATACTCAACCCTTCAAGTGAACGCCGCCGCGGCGTTGGTGAACCTGTCTCTGGAGAAACACAACAAGGTGAAGATCGTACGGTCGGGGATAGTTCCGCCGCTGATCGACGTTCTGAGGGGCGGATTCTCCGAGTCGCAGGACCACGCAGCCGGTGCGCTCTTCAGTCTATCCCTCGACGATCAGAACAAGACCGCCATCGGAGTTCTAGGCGCGTTGCCTCCACTCCTCCACGCGCTGCGCTCCGATTCGGAGCGGACGAGGCACGATTCCGCTCTAGCCTTATACCATCTCTCCTTAGTGCAGAGCAACCGTGTCAAAATGATCAAACTCGGCGCGGTACAGACATTGCTCGGCATGGTTAAATCGGGTCATATGTTGAGTCGGGTCATGTTGATAATGTGTAATTTGGCAGCAAGCGTTGAGGGAAGGGCCGCGATGCTGGACGCAGGCGCGGTTGAGTGTTTCCTGAGGTTGCTGAGTCAGGGTGAGTTCGACTCAGCAGCGACTCGGGAGAGCTGCGTGGCGGCGATATATGGGCTGAGTTGCGGCGGATTGAGGTTCAAGGGGCTGGCGAAAGAGGCCGGGGCGGAGGAGGTGCTGAATAATCTAGAGAAAACGGGTAGCGAACATTTGAAAGAGAAGGTGAAGATGGTGTTGGAAGTGTTGAGAGAGAAGCACGAGGAAGAAGAAGAGATTAATTGGGAGGAATTGCTGAGTTTAGACGACGATGATGATGGTTCGAGTAGGAGTCGAACTCGAGTGAGTTGAGTGGTTCTTTCGAATCGAATTTCGTTTTGTTGGTTAAGTGAGTTTATCTGGTAATGATGTGTGTGCTTGATTTGTGGTTCCTCATTAACAATTGGGGAAGTTGTAAGTAACAAAATTGTGGTTAGTTTGGATTTTTATTAGATTATTTGAGGCTGATTTACATATGTTTTTCCTAATTCTTTCATGTTTGCTCAAGCTTTGGAAGGTTTTTGGCCAATAATAGAGAATAGAATGTAAATATTTGTTATAATTTTGTCTCGAGCTCTCTTCCTTCCCTCCATTCCCTATTTTTGAAACTCTCCTCCTTAATTAAAGCCCTAAAACCACTCTTGAAACCTCAATTCAACATCGTTAATGGCGTGTGTGTTTTTTAGTGTGTGTTTTTGGTGTAGTGTGTGTATATATTTTTTAGTGTGTGCTATATTTTTTTAGTGTGTTTTCGATGTAGTGTGTGTATATTTTTTAGTGTATGTTTTCGGTGTAGTGTGTGTATATTTCTTTTAGTGTGTGTAATTGTTTTTAGTGTGTGTTTTCGGTGTAGTGTGTATAATTCTTTTTAGTTTGTTTTCGGTGTAGTGTGTGTATTTTTTTCAGTGTGTGTTTTCGGTGTAGTGTGTGTATTTCTTTTTAGTGTGTGTTTTTTATGTAGTGTGTGTAAAAAAAAATTCACGATCAAAATCACCAAAAAATATATACTATATAGTACACAAATTTTAGTTAAAATTGGTGCAACATCCAAAAACCTATTTCACGATCAAAATCACGAAAAACTGTATACTATATAACACACAACTTTTAGTTAAAATTGGTGGAACGTCCAAACAACTATTTCACGATCAAAATGTATGTTATATAGTACACAAATTTTACTTAAAATTGGTGGAACGTCAAATAAACTATTTCACGATCAAAATCACTAAAAACCTTACACTATAGTACACAGATTTTAGGTAAAATTTGAGGAACGTCAAAAAACTATTTCACGATCAAAATCACAAAAAAACTGAATGCTACAATTTTGGGTAAAATTGGTGGAACATCAAAAAAAAGAAAAAAAAAATCACGATCAAAATCACAAAAAACTATATGATATAGTACACAATTTTGGGTAAAATTGATGGAACGTCCCAAAAACTTTTTCACGATCAAAATCACCAAAAATTGTATACTATATAACACAATTTTTGAGTAAAATTGGTGAAACGTACAAAAAACTATTTATGGATACAATTTTAAATTGGTGCAACGTCCAAAAAACTATTTTTCGATCAAAATTACCAAAAACTGTATACTTATTATAGTACACAGATTTTGGGTAAAATTGGTGGAACGTCCAAAAAACTATTTTTCGATCAAAATTACCAAAAACTGTATACTTATTATAGTACATAGATGTTAGTTAAAATTGGTGCAACGTCCAAAAAACTATTTTTCGATCAAAATTACCAAAAACTGTATACTTATTATAGTACACAGATTTTGGGTAAAATTGGTGGAACGTCCAAAAAATTATTTCACGATCAAAATCACCAAAAACTGTATACTATATAGTACACATATTTTGGGTAAAGTTGGTGGAACGTTTAAAAAGAAATTCACGATCAAAATCACCAAAAACTGTATATACTATAGTACATATATTTTAGTTAAAATTGCTGCAACGCCCAAAAAAATATTTCACCGTCAAAATCATCAAAAAATGTATACAATAGTACACAAATTTTAGTTAAAATTAGTGGAACGTCCAAAAAACTATTTCACGATGAAAATCACTTTAAACGGTGTACTATATATAAGTAGTACACATATTTTGGGTAAAATTGGCGGAACGTCCAAAAAACTATTTCACGATCAAAATCACCAAAAACTGTATGTTATAGTACACAAATTTTTGATAAAATTGGTGGATCGTCCTGAAAAACCTTTTTACGATCAAAATCACCAAAAACTGTAAACTATAGTACACAGATTTCGGGTAAAATTGTTGGAACGTCCCAAAATGAATTTCATGATCAAAATCACAAAAAATTGTATACTATATAATACACTGGTTTTGGGTAAAATTGGTGGAACGTCCAAAAAACTATTTCACGATCAAGATCACCAAAATATAAATGATATAGTACAAAGGTTTTGAATAAAATTGGTGGAACGTCCAAAAAACTTTTTTCACGATCAAAATCACCAAAAATTGTATACCATATAATACACATATTTCGGGTAAAATTGCTAGAACATCCAAAAAACTTTTTCACGTTCAAAATCACAAAAAATTGTATACTATATAACACACAGATTTTAGGTAAGATTGGCGGAACATCCAAAACAATATTTCACGATCAAAATCACCAAAAATTGTATGTTACACAAAATTTTGATAAAATTAGTGACTCGTCCCAAAAAACGTTTTCACCATCAAAATCACCAAAACATATATACTAGTACACATATTTTGGGTAAAATTGTTGTAACGCCCCAACAAAAATTTCACGATCAAAATCACAAAAAACTGTGTACTATAATATACAGATTTTCGGTAAAATTGGTGCAACGTCCAAAAAACTATTTTACGATCAAAATCACCAAATATAGTACACAGTTTTAAGATAAAATTGGTGAAACGTCCAAAAAAAAGATGTCACGATCGAAATCACCAAAAGCTGTACAGTATAGTACAAATATTTTGGGTAAAATCGTTGAATGTCCAAAAAACTTTTTCAAGATCAAAATAACGAAAAACTGTACACTTACACATATTTTAGATAAAATATGGAACGTCCAAAAAACGTTTTCACGATCAAAATCACAAAAAATCGTATATTATAGTACACAAATTTTTCATAAAATTGGTGGATCGTCCCAAAAAACTTTTTCACCAAGAAAATCACCAAAAACAGTATACTATAGTACACAGAGTTTGGATGAAATTGGTGGAATGTCCAAAAGAAAAATTTACGATCAAAATCAACAAAAAATGTATAATATAGCACACAGATTTTGGGTAAAATTGGTGGTTTGTCCAAAAAACTATTTCACAATCAAAATCACCAAAAACTACATGCTATACTACGCAGATTTTGGGTAAAATTGGTGGACTGTCCAAAAAACTATTTAACGACCAAAATCACCAAAATTTTTACACATATTTTGGGTAAAATTGGTGGAACTTTCAAAAAC